TAAAGAGGTGAGGTGAGGTGAGATGAGATGAGATGTGATGAGACACTTGTTTACTGTACTCGAGTAAGTTACCTTTTTTTTGGTTGCGGAGAATGGAGAATGGTGGATGGTGGATGGAGAATGGAGAATGGGTTGGATGGATAGAGGGAGGGGGGTGGATAGGGGGGGGTAGATAGAGATAGGGATGGGAGAAATGATTAGGGATATGGATAAAGGAATGGGAATATAGATATAGATATGAGTAGAGGGATGGATAGATAGATAGAGGAATAGGGATAGAGATATGGCTAGGGATAGGGGGTGGGAATATAGTAATCTAGTGATATAATACTCGAGTAGTGTAATAGATCAACGATAAGAAAGAGAATAGAGATGAAGATGGAGATGGAGATGGCAATGCGAGCAAGGAAAGGTAATAAAAGAAACGGTAAATACCTGGAATAGCATCATTTTGAACTTTGATACCCGAAATAACCTAAATACCAATCGAGATATAATATATGCTATTTCAGGTTAAATCTTTTGTATTATTCTGATTACAAAATAAAATATATTAATCTAATCTCAGAAACAAAAATAATTCTATTCTGATTACAAATTTATGTATTAATCTGATTACAAGAAAAAAAAAGATACTATTCTGATTACAAAATTTATATATTAATCTAATCACAACAAAATAATGTTATTTATACAAAAGAATATAGAAAAAAGGGAAAAAGAGGGGCTATATAAAAGAATATAAAAAGAAGGAAAAGGAAGAGATTATATAAGAAGATATAGGGCTATTATTTATATCAAAATGTGACGGAACAGACAGCTCTCTTCCGCCCACTGGCTCATACTATGTACGTAGCATGATACGACGGCTCTCTTGGACCTTCCTTTCACAGCTTAGAGCCCTAGCTCTACAGCTCTAGACCTAGGCATTATACAATGCTTATCTCTAGGACTTTTTCATTCTTTTGGGCCTAGCCCTTATAGCTCCCAATACCTATATATATAGTCCTCCTTTTAGCACCCTACATAGTTCTTCACTTGTAGATTCTAAGTACACAATCGGAGTCCTGTTTATACCCTTTTGGTCACACAAAATAACGAATCAACTTTGAGACTAGAATAGCACCCTTTTCTTTTTCTGTGATTAGATTAATATATGAATTTTGTAACCAGAATAACACCTTTTTATTTTTACAATTAAAATAATATATAAATTATTTGAGACCAGAATAACATCATTTTATTTTTTTGAAACCAGATTAATACATTATTTAAAAACAATTGAAATAATACTTTTTGAAAAAAAAAAACGA